GCCCAGGATGGGAGGAGCTGGCGTGGAAGCTGCACCTTCGGGAAGAATTCCTGTCCAGCCCTGGCAGAGCCTGGTGTGGGGTCTGAGACGGCCAGAGAACCTCCCAGGCAGGGCTGTGTGTTTTGTCTGTTGCAAGCTCTGTACAACACCACGTCACCCGCTCTTCACATCCTGTCGGCCTCCCGCACAGCCCACGCGCTGCGCCTGGAAGGGCCCTGCTGTGGAGGAGCTGGCCCCATCCCCGAGGCCCTCAGCGAGGACACGCTCCACGAGAGCAGCCCTTCCACTCTCCGCCGAGGAGAGGGGCTCACCCTCCTCGGGAACCGGCTACCCGCGTGGCTCCCGTCAGGACCAGCCCGTGTGGGGTGCTCCCTGCCTGCTTGAAGGGTCTGTCCAGCCCCGGGAAGCCACCTTGGCCCCAGTTCACAGCCTGGTGCTCATCTGCTGGCACCGGGCATCCACCAATCAGCTTCCCCTATCCCTCCGAAGGACACCCGGCGGGCATCCCCCAGGGAGGCGGCGGCAGAGATCAGAAGGGGTGTCTGGGACCTGGATGACCAACAGGGACAGGGGCATTGTCGTCATCTCAAAGGCCCACACCCCCAGAGGCCACACTGAGCCTCCCAGGGAGCCCTCGAGTCCCCCTGCCCAGAGCCCTGGCACCAGAGACGCGGAGAGCCTGTGGGGGTGACTCGGAGCAGCAGGTGTGGTCCCGGGCGGGCAGCACCACGTCCAGGGCAGCCTCCCTCCGCTGAGCGAGTCACATGATACCAGTGCCCGGCCAACACTCCCTTGCAGGAGAAATTTGCAAACCTCTGTGGATACCACATTTCCATTTTTGTGTTGTCTCCAAGGCCCCTTTGGAGATCTACTTTGTTGGTTGTGTTTTTTGGTTCCTTTCAGAGAACTGTAAACCGAGGCTGAAGTGCCCCACTGACTGTGCCGAGGGGCGGGGGCAGGAGGACGGCAAGACCTATTTATAATATTTAGCAAACTCGGCCTCTCTCAGATCCCCCGCGAGGGAGGCCGCTGGACCCACCCCGCTGTCCCCCACGATAGAAGTCTGTAAATACCTTGGTGACCAATGCCCACTTCCCCTCCTGGGTCACCTCTGATGGCCGCCGTCCACTGAGAATGTGGACAGTGTCCAAATTCCTGTACTGTAATGACTAAAAGGCGTTTTCTCTGAGACTGACAAGGCAGAAACTTCCATGTGTCTCCTGCCAGGCTCTGTCCCCCTACGCCATCCCAACATGTCCCCGTTCCCCCGAAACCTGGCTCAGTGCAATACTCCCGTTGCCATGGGGTCTTTCACCATGGTACTGTCTCCACAGCCCCTCAGTCCCCACCCCAGGATAGGCGCCCACCACCTCCTCCTCGTCTCCGGTGGTCAATCGCTCCTCCTGTCCCCACCCCAGTCCCATTTTTATGGCTGAACTGATTCTGAAACAAAACGAAACTGCAAACCTCGTGTGTCTTAACTCCCCCCGGGGATTCCACTGCATTCCTCTGCCCCGTGGTCTGGTGCGTGACAATCCAAAGCGCCGCGCCTCGTGGCCGAGACGAGGGTGCTGTGTCCCTCAAACCCAGAGCCGTGGGCGCCTCTGAAACCATACAGCCACTCCTGGCCCCAAACAACACTGGTTTGCAGCCCAGGTTCCCCGCCCACCCATCCCCACCACACCCCGTCTTTTTAGAGGTCTCTCTAATAAATCGGGTAATAAGCATCCACCCGCTTGTCTGCCTTTCTGTGGGTTCTGGGGTCTGGTTGGGAGTTTGAGGACTGACTTTGTTTTCTTTTTTTTTTTTTTTTTTTATTTTTTTTGAGATGGAGTCTCCTGTCACCCAGGCTGGAGTGCAGTGGTGCAATCTCAGCTCACTGCAACCTCTGCCTCCCAGGTTCAAGCCATTCTCCTGCCTCAGCCTCCCGAGTAGCTGGGATTACAGGCGCGCACCACCACGCCCGGCTAATTTTTTTGTATTTTTAGTAGAGACGGGGTTTCACCATGTTGGCCAGGCTGGTCTCAAACTCCTGACCTCAAAGGACCTGCCTGCCTCAGCCTCCCAAATTGCTGAGATTACAGGCATGAGCCACCGCGCCCGGCCTGAGGTCTGACTTTGAATCTTAGAGAAGAAAGAAACCTTTGTGAGATTGATGCTAATATCAGTAATAGAACCCAAACACCTTACCAGTTGTGAACCTCCTTTAGGTCCCAGTTCAGCTCAGAAAACATCTGTGCTTCCAACATCTGTGCAGCCCTCCAAAGTTTGTATTTGTTCTGCTAGGGCGGTTCAAATTCAGTCAGGTTTGGACCCCTTGAAGGGAAAAGATTTCTCTTAGGTCTCCCAGATTGAGAAACTACATTGAAAGTAAGATAGGCCGGGTGCGGTGGCTCAAGCCTGTAATCCCAGCACTTTGGGAGGCTGAGACGGGCGGATCACGAGGTTAGGAGTTCGAGACCATCCTGGCTAACACGGTGAAACCCCGTCTCTACTAAAAAATACAAAAAAAAAAAACTAGCTGGGCGAGGTGGCGGGCGCCTGTAGTCCCAGCTACTTGGGAGGCTGAGGCAGGAGAATGGCGTAAACCCGGGAAGTGGAGCTTGCAGTGACCTGAGATCCAGCCACTGCACTCTAGCCTGGGGGACAGAGCAAGACTCTGTCTCAAAAAAAAAAAAAAAGTAAGATCCTGGCCAGGCATGGTGGCACACACCTGTAATCCCAGCTACTCGGGAGGCTGAGGCCAGAGAATTGCTTGAACCTGGGAGGCAGAGTTTGCAGTGAGCTGAGATTGCGCCCCTGCACTCCAGCCTGGGAGACAGAGCAAGACTCTGTCTCAAAAAAAAAAAGAAAAGAAAAGTAAGATCCTGCCTTTAGTAAGGGAGCCCTTGGAACAATGCCGTTTTCAGCACAGCTGTTTTATAAACTGAACATGAAGGTGATCTCATTTTAAGTTTGTTTGAAATGGAGTCACGCTCTATCACCCAAGCTGGAATGCAATGATACGGTCTCGACTCACTGCAACCTCTGCCTCCCAGGTTCAAGCAGTTCTGCCTCGGCCTCCTGAGTACCTGGGACTACAGGTGCCCGGCACTACACCTGGCTAAATTTTGTATTTTTAGTAGAGATGGGGGTTTCACCATGTTGACAAGGCTGGTCTCGAACTCCTGACCTCAGGTGATCCACCCACCTTGGCCTCCCAAAGTGCTGGGATTACAGGACTGAGCCACTGTGCCCAGCCCATGCAGCCAATCTCTAATGTGCTGCAAGGATGCATCTGAATTTTGGGAAGCACAGGGTCGGGCCTTCGCCTTGTTTTGGACCATCCCAACACCATGACAACCCACATCTCAGGACCGGCAAGGTCATCATCTAGAGTGTCAGGAGATGGTCTTCTGCTTCCTCTGTAAGGTTCCATCCTTGCCTTAACACCAAGCAAAGCATACAAAGCCAGCGTTTGTGGGGATGTTAGGAAGTTGTATTCCAAGATAAGCATTTTATTTATTTATTTTGAAACGGAGACTTGCTCTGTCGCCCAGGTTGGAGTGCAGTGGTGCGATCTCAACTCACAGCAACCTCCGCTTCCTGAGTTCAAGCGATTCTCTGCTTCAGCCTCCCGAGTAGCTGGGATTACAGTGGTACAATCGTGCCACCATGCCCGGCTAATATTTGTATTTTTAGTAGAGCCGGGGTTTCACCATGTTGGCCAGGCTGGTCTCGAACTCCTGACCTCAAGATCCACCTGCCTCAGCCTCCCAAAGTGTTGGGATTACAGGCATGAGCCACTGTGCCCGACTCAAGATAAACATTTTAATTTTTTTTCTTTCTTTTTTTTTTTTTGAGATGGAGTCTTGCTTTGTCACCGAGGCCGTAGTGCGGTGGCACAATGTCGGCTCACTGCAACCTCTGCCTCCCGGGTTCAAGCGATTCTCTCTGCCTCAGCCTCCCAAGTAGCTGGGATTACAGGTGCCTGCCACCACACCTGGCTAATTTTTGTATTATTTAGTAGAGAGAGGGTTTCACCATATTGGCCAGGCTGGTCTTGAATTCCTGACCTCAGGTGATCTGCCCGCCTGGGCCTCCCAAAGTGCTGGGATTACAGGCGGGAGCCACTGCACCCGACCAAGATAAACATTTTAAAAGTTTGCTTCAATTACCATCATCCTCCAGAAACAGGCCTTCCTAGCTCTGAGTGGTTAGAACTGCAGGGCGTGGTGGTAGCAGCGACCATGGGCTGGGGGAGCCCAAGACGGCACATCAGCGTCTTCTAGGTGCCCCCAGCCTTGCCCTTGAAGTCCGTCCTCCCATGCCAAACTTGTTTCAACAGCAAGTCCCCCAAACCCTGCTCACAACCCTCCCACGGGTCCCCAGCACCCACACCACAAAGCTGGGCAGCCTGGGTTGAGAAGGTAGGTGTTAAATGTGACTTTCCCTCCCTGAGCCTCAGCTTCCCCCCCCGAGCCTCAGTTTCCCCATCTCTAAAATGAGTTGATGGGGCAATACAAGGAGTTATCAAAGTTTTTTTTTTTTTAAAGCTTAACTCCCAAAATACACAGGTGTTCATTGGCAGGTGGTTCATTGGCGGGTGGTGGAGCATAACGATGACTCTCATAGGAAGGCTTTTCAGTTTCTGTCCCCGCGCCCACCCTCTGCCCTCTGGAGCTGCCTGGTACCTAAGCCCTTCCTGGTTCTTTGCCTTTCGGGGACCTCGCTCCCCAGACACGCCTCTCCTTGGCCACGCCCCTGGTCACGCCAATGAAGTGCCACTTCGGGCCTAGACCCGCTTCTTATTGGTCCCGCCTCCGCAGGCCCCTCCCCACATAAGGTTCCTAGTTTGCCCTTGCCCGGCCCACAGTTTCTCAGGCCCCCTGAGGCGCGGGGACCCGCCTGGGGCTGCCTCCGACACTGCCTGAAAGGAGAACCCCTCGCTCTGGAGCCTACAATGTCAGTGGAGTCGATCACGCGGTCCACATTTGCAGATGTAGTAGAGAGTCTGGGGCGTCGGAGTCCTTGCAGGCTGTGGCGGCGTGATGGGTTGTTCTCTCCTGGCTCAGGCCCGGACGGGGCAGTCTGGAGAGCGCCGTGAGCGAGAAAGGCCCCCAGCGTCGGCTTCGGCTATTGGTGTCAGCGTCGCGGCCACTGGCCCAGCCGATGGGTCGGGACACACGCTCGCGCTCGCGGTCAGCGGGTCGCCGCGGCCGAAGGCAGCGGAGCCAGAGCGGGAGCCGGAGCCGAAGTCGAAGTCGGAGCAGGAGCCATGGGCGGCGAAACCGGCGGCGCCGGGAGGACGAGGGACGGCGCAGACGGAGGCGGCGGAGCCGGGAGCGTAGGTGGGGTCGCTGCGGGAGCAGCGCTGGGGATCCGGCTCCTACCTCGGGAGCGCCCGACCGAGGGTTGGAGATCCCGGGGAACTGGGAGATCCCCGACTTACTCGGGGAGGGCTTCCTGGAGAAGGGGACAACTGACCACGAGTCGCAGTTAACCTGGCAGCGGAAGGAAGGCGAGAGGCGTTCCAGGCAGGGGACCGGGTGGTTGGAGGGACAGCCCGGAGCCGGGTGAGCGAAGCGGCGGGGAGGTCACGAGAGACCAGATCATATCGAGCCCTGTGTGCTCAGCACATTAGATCTTGGTTATTAGTCGGAGGGAAATGGGGAGCCTTGAGAGGAATTTGGGCAGGGGAGTGACGTGGACTGACTTACTGTGCAAACTTTCTGGCTTTGAGGTGGAGAAGGGATGGAGCGGGGTGGGCAGGAGCGGCACCAGAGGAGGACGGCACGGTTGTCCAGAGAGTAGATGATGGCAGCCTCGATGAGAGAGAGGCTGTAGGCAACCACAGCGGGGAAAGTGCATAGATTTCAGAGGGATTCTGGAAGTAGAGGTGACAGCATTTGCTAATGGAGGTGGACTGTGGGAGGGAAGAAGACTTGGTGTCAGCTGGCAGGACTCACAGCTGACTCCTAGTACCTTAATCTCAGTTTCCCCACGGCCCACGGTCCTTTGCTTCTGGAGATGGGACACTTAGTCGGATTTGCCTTGAGCTGGGTCCTGTACAGAGAAACCAGAATGGTGACAGGGACTGATTCCCAGACCGGGGCTCCAGTACTGGCTCAGCCCCTTCGTGGCTGTGACACTCAGGCCAGTCTTGCCTCACTCTGGGCCAAGTTCACTGATCTGCTGTGGTTGTTTGTTTGTTTGTTTTTGAGACGGAGTCTTCCTCTGTCGCCCAGGCTTGGGTGGAGTGGTGCCATCTCAGCTCACTGTTACCTGTGCCTCCCGGGTTCAAGCGATTCTTCAGCCTCAGCCTCCCGGGTAGCTGAGATTACAGGTGCATGTTGCCAACCCAGCTAATTTTTGTATTTTTTAGTAGAGCTGGGGTTTCTCCATGTTGGCCAGGCAGGTCTTGAACTCCTGACCTCAAGTGATCCTGGCCCTCAAGAGATCTCCCAAAGTGCTGGGATTACAGGCGTGAGCCACCATGCCTGGCCATAAGTCTTGTTTTTATTTTTATTTTTTATTTTTTTTAATTTTTTTTGAGACAGAGTCTCGCTCTGTCACCCAGGCTGGAGTGCAGTGGCCGGATCTCGGCTCACTGCAAGCTCCGCCTCCCGGGTTCACGCCATTCTCCTGCCTCAGCCTCCCTAGTAGCTGGGACTACAGGCGCCCGCGACCTCGCCCTGCTAGTTTTTTGTATTTTCTAGTAGAGATGGGGTTTCACCGTGTTAGCCAGGATGTAACCGTCTACTACTAAGAAAATACAAAAAACTAGACCAGAGACAGTAGGAGAGCGGTGCCTGTAGTCCCAAAGCTACACTGAGGGCAGGAGAAGCTGAACCGGGGGGCGGACTTGCAGTGCGAGCCCGCTGAGATCCGGACACTGCCACTCCAGCCTGGGGGAACAGAGCGATGACTCCATCTCAAAAATAAACAAAAAAATTGGCCCGCCGCGCAGGGATGGCTCAAGCCTGTAATCCCAGCACTTTAGAATACCGAGACATGTGGATCACGCAGCTCAGGCAGATCGAAAGACCATCCTGAGCTAACACGGTGAAACCGACCGTCTCTACTAATAAAAGTACAGGCCGCAGGCGCAGTCGGCTCAAGCCTGTAGGTCAGACACATTCCGAGGCCCCGAGACGGATGATCACACAGTGTCAAGAGAATCGAGAGCATCCCGGGTGCTATACCTCCAGATGAATTAACCCCACCATCTCTACACGAATATAACAAAAAAACTTAATACAACGAGAGCGGATGGTCCAGGGCGCCTCACGATCGGTAAATACCAGCTACCTGATAGGTAGCTAGGAGCACAGGCAGAACGCGGCTTGGAGAACGGACAGCGGCCGAGGTCACGCACAGAGCCGCGAGCACAAGGAAAAGCAAGTTTGTCAGAAGCTTTGCTTTCCAGAAATTTCATTACTGAGGATATGTATCCCTTTCTCACCATAAGCCCCTCCTATGGGATTCCAAAAAAAAAATATCACTTTGCCAATCCACCAAGAAAACTGTCTTAAAGCCAAAGGCTTCTTGAGGGGAAAAGCTGTAACTCTGTGAGATGGATTATTCACTAGACGAACACACAAGAAAGTTCTCAGAAAGCTCTCTTTCTCATTAGTTATCGGAGGAATAATTTTGCCTTTGGCCAATAATCGGCCTGTATGTCTA